ACGAAATAATGAGAAGACGTCACGTCACTGTCACCATAGTAGCACCGCCCTTATAATATGCTATTACAAAGATCTTTAATCTTATGTATTTTCCTTCGATAAAAATTATTATGGATTTTACTGACATCGTTTTATATTACCAAATCACGAATTTTTTTTTCTCCAAATTAACATAGCTATTTCTTTTAATAAATACAACGAACAACGAGTAAAAATATTACTTTTGATAAATTTGTTCGTTAGTCAATGGACAAATAGGAATTTTAATATGCAGACAGCAAATTAAATTGTAACATGGTCCAACGAATTTATTTATTTGTTTATTTAAATTTTATTTTGGTAATTTTCATCTTTTTCATTTAAAAACTAATTAAATGAACAAATTTAATTAGTTGACATATAACTAACATTTAGGCCTATATATTATAATATTTGTCTGAAAATAGCAGAACAATATTTATTGGGATTTATAAGTAATCCTTGTCCTTTTTGTTCTTTACTTCGAAATTTTGATATATGTGGCTAACAAAACTAAATTTTTCAATTCAACACCGAGAAATTTAGTGCAGTAATTACAAATTTCATTTCTTAATCATTACTTTAACTTACTCAAAGATCATTGACACAACAAACTTAATTAATTGCCAACAATTATATGCTTATAACATAACAGAACGAAATGAAAACATTTTCTAAATATAACATCTGAATGTAAATTAGGAAGACTTGTGCATCTTAAACTTACTTATTATTATACCGAAGCTAATTGAAAGACAATTTGAGTTCAGTCGACTCAAAACAAGATGACTAATTTCGGTAAAACCAAATTCATTAAAGAAGCAATTATGCNATTAGGAAGACTTGTGCATCTTAAACTTACTTATGATTATACCGAAGCTAATTGAAAGACAATTTGAGTTCAGTCGACTCAAAACAAGATGACTAATTTCGGTAAAACCAAATTCATTAAAGAAGCAATTATGCTGATCTTTTTCAATTTACATATACGCGTGCATTATATAAACAAGCTAAAAAATTACGTTAAAATTTCTTCGAAGAAAGTTTACGTACGTCTCGGATTTCAGTCAATTTTTACTAAACTAGTTGTTGTGAGGATAAAGTATCCTCTACGTCAGTGGTTCCCAATTAGTGGTTCGCGTACCCCCGGGGGTACGCGAAATTGCATGAAGGGGTACGCGCGGCAATAAAAAATCGGCCGATTTAAAATTTAAATGCATGAGATGAAACAATCAAAAAAATCAATCGTTTATTTATAACTAAAAACATTCTCGAAATTTCATTGTTAAAAAATGCATTTGTGACAATTTTTCTTTCTTGCGTAAATTCTTACGCAAGAAACAATTTTTATTTCTTGCGTAAATTCTTACGCAAGAAATAAAAATTGTACAATTATCATTATCATCATGTCAGTGAAGCAGCAATAAAATATTTACTACCATATTGCACAACATACCTCTGCGGGAGCGGATTTTCGCCATGACAAACAAGAAAACTAAACATCGTCACCGACTTCAACTCGAAGATGACTCGAGACTGAAGCTGACCAAAAAGCAACCAGATTTTACAAAGTTGTGCAAAGAAAATCGTGCACATTTGTCACGTTAAAATTAAATAACCTTATGTTATTTTCATTATTACTGTATTAGAATTGTATTTCAAAGGTAATAAATGTAAAAAAAAAAACATTCTATTTATCACTTGCTGTCTACCCACGGCTTCGCCCGCATTATATCGAATTTTCTCGTGGGAGTAAGATATTTTCTCGCAGTAAAATGTAGCCTATGTCCATCTCCAACGTGTAAGCTATCTCTGTGCCAAATTTTATTAAAACCTGTTCAGCGGTTTAGATGTGAAAAGGTGACAGACAGCCAGCAATACCTTCGAATTTATAATATTAGTATGGATTAATATGAATTTCTGCTATAAGGGGTACGCGAGTTTGAGCTCTTTCTTGAAGTGGTATGCAGGAAAAACTAATTGGGAACCACTGCTCAACGTAATTACTTCTACAGAACTTTCAAGACTAATTTGCAACACGATAACGAAAACAACGCTAGATACGTTGCGTATCAACATATCTTTTAATCGAAAATATGTATAAAGAAAATCAAGTAAATTTGATCTGACGATCGAATAAACTTGCTGTTAAAAACGTATAACATTAAGATGGAAAAGTGTTTCACTTTTATATAATTTTAAACTAGTTTAATTCGGGATGAATTTTAATTTGATTTCTTATAACATAATTTCGATTTCTACAGAATTGGGAAAAAATAAATTCGTTGCATAATCTAACAATATAAATGCGCAAAATGAAGGTATGTCAAAATAGTTCGCTAATATTATTATTAATATTACTATTTACTTCGAAAAATTTAAACTCATAGTTATGGCACTCCCTACAGCAATCATAGATCCAGATAACGAGAAAGATTAATTATTTGACGGCTACTTGCATCTTTTAATTTTTTCCTCATGCTTTACGTAGAAAAAAGTAGAAAACTTGCAGAATATCATTCATTATTTTGAAATCGCTATTGGGAATAAAAGTATACAAATTCAGAAACGTTATGAAAAGAGACAAGTGTTCTAAATAGTTCATTTATTTCTCCATGATTAATTCTTCTCATTTATTATTATATTTTCAATTTTCAAATTTCGTCTTGTATAAATAACAACTAACAATTATATATTGTAATGCCTATGTAACATAGGCTACGTGAAAAAAAAAACACTAGGGATTACAGCGATAAACTGTAATCCCTAGTGTTTTTTTTTTCACGTAGCCTACATTACATAAAGCATTACAATCTATCAACAGATAAATATTTAATCAAGCCATCTTTTTATTAATAAGTAATTATTTAAAGTAATTAAAATTAAGTAAGAATAAGAATTTTGCGCGAAACATTTTACGTATTTGCGTTATTATTCTTATTAACATATTTTATTTTTTGTTTAAAAGCTGTTATATATCTTACAAAATACTAAATGAATATTTCTATTTCACATGTATAGAATTTCAAAATGGCACCTCCACGTACTACGGTAGAGCGTCGTTTATCCGAATGAATTGGGGACTGAGGTTGTTCGGATAACTTATTTTTCGGATAACCGATTATGTACGAAAAAATATATTAACCTAACCCGTGTTGAAATTTTTTTCCGTCGCGTGTCGCTTCGCGCTGAATTTTCGTCGATGTTAAGCCTAACGCAAACTTTTTAAAATAATAATCGTGGCTATTGTATCGTTAAAAATTATTTATTTTTTACAAACGAAATAAATATATTGAAAAATATAAAAACAAAAAAAATTATACTTTACAAGTTTATCTAGTATCAAAAACGTTCGATTCAGCACGACACACAGTCCTCAGAAAAACACCACACAAAAGTGCCAGTGCTGCCAGCTAAAAAACACACATCAACAAAAAAAATATTGGAGTAGCACAAGATATAGCCACAGATTGCAGCGCCACTGCACTAGCGAAAATTTAAATTTGCCGACAGGAATTCTTTCGGATAAACGACGCTCTACTGTATTTAAATTGACATCGAGTCAAGTAGAGGTTTATGCATATATATTTAACATTTAAATTCATAAATAATCTTCTATATTCTAAAGTTACAAGTCAGATGAGATATTCCAAAGATAAATGACAAGCTGTGAAATTACAAGATCTCTTATCTTTATTAACTACTACATTAAATTCCAGTATTGATTTTTTACAACAAACTAGCAACAGTAGGCTTATTTAATTTATAACAAAACTGACATTTATATACCTATTCTGTTGTTCGCAAACTTTTAATATTTTCATTAAACCATTTTATTCCTTATAAAATTCATTTCTATCAATTTCTAACTCGAAAATATAATTCTAACGATTTTGGCACGATTTATAAATAAAAAGGTAACTCTTTGCAGTATGCTGTCCAGCAAATAAATATTCGAGATATAATATAATAAATTTACTACTTTTATTTCATCGCAAAATGTATGATCAACGTTCAGCAATTCATCATGCAAGCAAACAGAATGTAGAATAGATTTTTAAAAAATACACGCTTTAAATTTTAAGACCGGATAAAATTTTAACACGGCACACACAACATGAATTATTCTGTACTATTTAAGATTTTAATTAAACAGATTCTCTTTTATTTTATAAAAGAAACTTAGAAAATATAAATAAAAGATTAAGAAATAATCTAACCTCAAAATCTTATTCCTTAACAACTAGTATTGATAATTAAATTATTTTAAATTCATTGTCAGATTACTAAGAATTTTCATAAATAACCCTTATGATATACTTATTTATGTATTATAAATGTAATTTTTATTATTTATATACCATTCTGGTATCTACAAATCTTGAATCTAAAAGTTCAGTGGAAAAAATAAATAAATAAATAAAATATTTTGTTACATACACAGATACTATATTATCTAGAATTAAATATTGCATATGGAATCCTTTTATAATTGGAAAAAACCGCTTTAATCAACAATTACCCAAAATATTTATTATTGATATTTAAATTATCTGAAATTTTTTCAATGTATTCAAATTTATACTTCTCATTATTTTACAATTTTTTATTTAAAACATGATAAAATATTACATCATATTTAAAAAAACTCATATAAATTAACTTCTCAAAGCAATTATATTTATAGACGGGCATAAAATAATGTATCATTCTAATAATTAAATTATGAGATTAAAGTATTGTTTAGTATAATAACATTAGTCATTCTCTTCTAAAGTATAATACTTTTTAAATAAATTTAATCTGAAATTTATAAAACAAAGCAATTTTTTTCATTCACATAAATGCATATTCTTTACTGTTATTTGCAATACAAACTGTAATAAGTTTTATATTTATATTCATATGTCTATAAAAACCAAAAGAGAAAGTAGTTTACAAATACTAAACAGGTTATATTCAACTTTTTCTACATCCTATTGGCAAAAGTTGCTTTATCACATTTACGAATAATTTATGATGTCGTCATTTGTATGAAATACGATTGGTTATATTTGTGAATCTCTTATCATACTTGTCTGTGTTGTGGGTATTTATTTGAACTCTTACAGTAGAAAACCACAGATTCCTCGGTAAGTTAATATACTTAAACTCACCGCGACAATTTCATTAAAATTTTCTCTCTCTCATAGTCTGTGTAGTTTATGTTTAATTTGTGTCCTAGCTATTTTCGTGTGTAGTTTTATGTAATTTATATAATTGAGCTACGATATTTATACGATTTTTTAAATTTATTTTTTTTTAAATAGATATTGTATGTATTGTATCAAAAAAGTTTAATGCTTAAATATTTGTGAAGAATTAGTTATATGAAAATCAATTTTAGAAGCAAGTATAGGAGTATCGATGTAGTTAATACGGTTTTAGTAAAAATTTGATAAAATTTCTTCAATAATTTCTTTAATCAAGCACTTATAAATTTTAACAAGTTCATATTAAAAATTATCCAAGCGTTATATTAAATTTAAATATTAAACAATAGTCTTTTGTTAACGTCAGGTANGGTCGGAAATCGCAATAAAAATTTGAATTTTTTAAAAATATTTAAAAATATACGGCCACTAGTTTTCACCCTACTTTAAACCCTTGTCCTCCATCTATGAGAATGCCACGGGAAATCCAACTCCAGCTGTGTTCAAGGTCAGACAGCTGTGTAAACAATGACTCATCAGTGTTAAATTTCACAGAAGGGCAAGACAAAGGAAGTTAAACTTTGAAGCTTTTTCTTCAAAAATTAACGCATTTCTTTCGCTTTTTTCAGTTTTAAGTATTTTTTATATTTAATTATATTTATATCAAAATTTGCTAGGAACTAAAGCGATTAAGGTAGATCTAGCTGTCCTTTACATCCATAAACGTTATATGTCAGTGGAACAAATGGAGTGAGCTTTGAGCGTTCCATGATTTTTGGAGATTGTCTATACGCAAGCTTCCTAAACAAGCCTACATGTATGTTTGTCCAAGAAATTTTTAGATGAAATACAAACCGCACAACTTCAAAATCGCATAAAAATTATCCACATAAAAAGAGACCTTACAGTATAATACTTTTTAAATAAATTTAATCTGAAATTTATAAAACAAAGCAATTTTTTTTTTCATTCACATAAATGAATATTCTTTACTGTTGTTTGCAATACAAACTGTAATAAGTTTTGTATTTATATTCATATGTCTATAAAAACCAAAAGTGAAAGTAGTATACAAATACTAAACACGTTATATTCAACTATTTCTCCATCCTATTCGCAAAAGTTGCTTTATCACCACATTTACGAATAATTTATGATGATGTAATTTGTATGAAATACGATTGGTTATATTTGTGAATCTCTTATCATTCTTGAAATCTGTCTGTTTTGTGGGAATTTATCTGAACACTTACAGTAGAAAACCACAGATTCCTCGGTAAGTTAATATACTTAAACTCGCCTGGATAATTTCATTAAAATTTTCTCTCTCTCATAGTCTGTGTAGTTTATGTTTAATTTGTGTCCGAACTATTTTCGTGTGTAATTGAGCTATGATATTTATACGATTTTTAAAATTTATTTTCTTCAAAATAGATATTGTATGTATTGTATAAAAAAGTTTAATGCTTATTTGTGAAGAATTAGTTATATGAAAATCAATTTTAGAAGCAATTATAGGAGTATCGATGTAGTTAATACGGTTTAGTAAAAATTTGCTAAAATTTCTTCAATAATTTCTGTAATCAAGCACTTCTAAATTTGAACAAGTTCATATTAAAAATTATCCAAGCGTTAGATTAAATTTAAATCAGGGGTGTCCAACCTTTTTGTTTCTTTGGGCCACATTGGAAGAAGTCATGGAGTTTTGGGCCACAAGTATAATTTGGCCCAATCCTTAAATATACAAGTATATTTAAGAACTAACATGTCTAGATTATAGTAATAAGCATTAAAACTTTATTACGAATAAGGATATTTTAAAAAATTACTTCTACAGACACTTTCAATTTTTATTTAGAAATAAATAAATTCATTTATTATAAAGGAGATAAACAAAAATTTATTTGAAAAACACAAATATTTGTTTTATTTGGGTCTTTAATTAATAAAAAGTGATGAAACACCATTTTAAAGTGCATT